ACGTTGATATCTCAGGACAGAGTCTAATACCAATGTCAATTGATGTAGAATACTGATGACAAATGACATAGATATTTTTTGGTAATATCTCACTGTTCCCCAGTTGCTGTCTTTGCATTACTCTTCTGCTCTTTCGGTATTAGTCTCTCTCTTAATTTGCTCTTAAGGATCCAAAGTTGCTGAGGTGAGACTGGGTGGCAGGTTATGCTAGAGTTAAATGAAGCCTTTAAGATAAAATGCTGGCTACATTTTAACATCCATGCTGGCTCTGGTGGTGCTCCTTTGGTGGTCTGCTTGGATTAGAACCAGCTTTTCACAGCTCTTTGCATTGCCCAAAGTGTAGATTAATGCAATGGATTGTTTTTGCCTATGGGGCTGTTGCTCTGTTAAGATCCCCTTGCTCTTGAATTTTGTGCTGTACTGTGCATCTCTGGTCCTCTGTCTCTTCCTTTGTTCACTCTTAAACTGGTCTTCAGATGCTGGAGTTGCTGAGTTTCAGACTGGAGTTTGGTTGGCTGGCTGGAGGAAACTTCTTCAGAACTGGTCAGTATGGTACATGCATATAATCAAATATGAGAAAAGTTGTATCAATAATTTGTAGTGTTGAATTTTGGAAAGCTGGTCTGCTGGTATTCCCAGTGGGAACACCGTTTTTATGGTGGGGGGTGTGATGACCCCACCGCTCCACTCATTATAAACTCGTCTCATCTCTCATCCTTGTTGCAGCCTAAGAGCTGGTTAACAGTTGTGTTGATAAGTAACCAAAGTCCAGCATCTTCCAAATGTCTCATGCCAAAGTCATCTTGACCTAAGGTATGGGGAACAAAACCAAGCGTCATAAAGTGAACGCCCACATTTAAAATACAGCAGCTCAATTTTCATTCCAACCAAAATTTAATGGTGACATCATTCTGACATCTGGTGTGAGCAGTGAAACTAAAATGTAATATCAGTCTTATGTAGGTAGGTAGGTATATCACTGTTGATCATTACAGTTTTTTGTCATAAAACCATAAAAGATATGGTATAGTAGATCATAAAAAAGTCATAGTGTGTGCACTTGGCCTTCAATCATGAGCTGGCTCCCTGAAATGGAACTCAGTCATCAAACTTTTAGAACACCTGATCTAACATGCTCAGTTTAGCTGTTAAGTTTCCAAAGAATTTCTCCTTTGGGGAATTCCCTTCAGACCTCCCATAAAACGGGTCACACAGCCCTAAATCAACTGTGTACTTTTGAGAGGATGTAGTGTGTGGTTTTGTTGAAATATATTAGGTTACACAGAGACCCTCACTGAGATATATGGAGTGGACAATAAAATAGAAACACACCATAACAGCACCTCAAACTGCAGCCTCCAAAGTGACCATAGAGTTGAGTCATTGAATCAATAGCGTCATATCAGACACAGAGATGCAGATTAAAAAGATTATACTCTGTAACACAGAAATTTACATAATATCCACATTAAAATTTCAATGGATTTCAAAAAGATTAGTCATGTGCAGTATAAAAGGAAAAGTATTGTTTAGTCCCAAAATATGCACCCAACAGAGCCACCACATTTGTTTCTAAGAAGCAGAAAAACACAAGAACAGGGAGCACACTCCCAGATAAAAGTAAAAAATAAGAAAAGAAAGAAGTACATTAAGCAAAAGGTATATATGTTTGTATGGTTGGTTAATATTTAGGCAATGGGCTGCTTTTTGTAAATAATTCAGTGAGGTCTGAGAGCCCTCAGGCCATCACACAATCCAACTGCAATTTTGAATTATTATATATTTTAGATGAGGCTTCAAGTTTGTCCATCTTCAATGATTATTTTCACATTTCAATATTCATCAGGCTGCAAGGAATCAGCGCTCATGCTTTGTTTTGTGGTAGCATTTCCCCTTTGTTCTTTGCACGTCAACTAATGGACGTGCTGAATGTCAGTGAGCATTAACAAACGCAGATCAAAGAAAGGAAGTGATGACATAGCTTATTATCTGCAAAAAGCTATAGGCAAAAAGACAGGCGTAGAAGTATCATCTCATCTGCCTCATGATGGGGAGATATATTTGATAAATAACATACAGTATGTGGTTATTGTGATCATGTGCGCATGTTTAGTTTCTGCTTCCTGTGTCATATTTTGTGCTTGCGGTATCCATAGCAACGAGTAGGGTGAGGAGGTCTTTGACATTTGACTGTTTAATTCAGTCTCACTCTTCTGTTTCCTTGCAGAGTCATGCAGACATACTGAGCACTTCAGTCACTGTGAGATTACATAAAACTACAGTCTGAGGGCTGAGTTTACAAATTTGGATTCAGCAAGTGTCTTCCTGAAGGACAATTGAGCAGGCAGAGCAGATGTCTTCTCACAGGCAGCTTCCTCCCATTACATCCAGTTAGGAAAGAAACCATTAACCATTAAATCACTGATAAAAGGCCACTGATAACTGCTGACTATCAAATTCAGTTATGAAAACTTTAAATGTTAAACTTTAAATTCTGTAGAATTTTTGTACATGTGCAGCCATGATGTCACATTAGCTACTTTACAGCTTAATAACTGAAATTTGCTTTCTCATTGCAAGCTGAGAATACATCTACAAACTTTTGAGAGGCGTGAGATTCAATACATACATGATTTCTGAGTTATAAGAGAAAGAAAGGAAAAGTCAAATAAAAACATTTGAGAAAAATCAAGTAAAGTCTAGGTTAAAGTATATTTTTAAAGCAAAAGATTTGGGGGAAAGGCTTATTTGCTGTCATGCTGGAAGTCTGATTAATCTGAAGTTAGTACATAGAGGTGATTATCTTAGTGTGGTATTATGGCAAGAAGCAGGAGGAAACAGTTAGCCTGGTTCTTCCCAAAGTTGAATATGAAGGCTACCAGCACCACTAAAGCTCACTAATTAATACGTTAAATGTTTGATATTTCACACAAAGTGAAATGTGAAAATGACAAGTTGTGGTTTTACAAAGATTCTCATGCTTGAAATATTTCTTGGGAAACAGCAGGGCCATGCATGCATTACAAGTGCTGGATACTGGATTCGATCACTTGAATGAAAATTTCAGCAAGGCCCTTAGACTTTACATTAGGTTGGTACCGAAAAACTGCATTTCCTTGAATGACCACTTGAGGCTAGCTCTGGAAGTGAGTCAGTCTCCATAGACACTCTTTAAAATGCACAACTTTACAGCCGAAATGAATGTGTTTACAGTTTGGTACAGAAAATAGTTTTGGTCAGCATAGATAATTTCAAAATTCAGGACAACTGTATAGCAGTCAATTTTTTATGTATTACTCAAATGTTTATATTTCACAAAATCTTAAAGTTACGCATAATTAAGGGGAGGCCACTTTGAGTGACAGGCTAAGCTTCTCAGGCAGATCCATCCCTCACTCCTCCACAGCTCCACCCTCTCCTCCAAATATGATCACTTCGGCTCCAAAACTCCAAGAAGGCCATGGCTGAAATTCTGAAACTGAGGCTTCAAAACAGGAGTCCACAAACCAATGGGTAATATCCCACTAGCTATGTCCATTATTTTACACAGTCTATGCTTAGCAGCAAGACTGATCGGTGCCACCATATCCAGCTGCCTTATCATGGTTGTGTCTAGATGGTAAAACCAGATTTGCATGTATTTATATTTACATGTTTCAAGTGATCACTTTAACTAAACCATGCCCCTAACCTTGACCCTTTTGTGCCTAAACCCAACCAGACCTTAACTACAGCATTGTAACACCATAAAAATATCTGGAATTGGCTTGCAAGAGTTTCTCAAATCTAGGGCTACCATTAAGCCACAACCTCTTAATACATCCATGAGCAGAGTATGTCGACCTCCCACAGTCTTATGATCACCATGAGGTTACCAGGCAACCAGTTGCAAGTTGACGTGTTGATTAGTAAGCTTTAGAGGTGTAGACGGTCACCAACAGCCTAACATTGACCGAAGGCAGACTGTCTGCTTGGTGTGTCAGGGTCTTAAGGCTGTAGTTAGCCTCAACAGTGCTTTAAGTTGATTGCTAATATCAGCATGCTAGCAGGCTAACAATGGCAGTGCTAACATGCAAATGTGGTATGATGTTTCCCATGTTAACTATCTTATTTAAAAATGGTAGCATGCCAAAATTTACTAATCAGCACCAAACACAAATCACAGATGAGTAAACGATGCTCACACCACCAGTTCCAAGTGGGTGTGGTTGTCTGTCCCATAAACAATGTGTGGATGGATGAAAGCAAATTCAAAACAATATGACACTATACACAGTATACATTTAATGTTTGCACCTGTTTTTATCTGCTAGCTGAATATGTGATATCAACCAAGTACAAGATTATATCAGTTGATGCCAGAGCGCACACAGAGTTCTCAAACAAAGTTCATTTTCTATTGATTTGTCTGTCTGAAAAATGCCATTTTAGTGTCAGAATGTTCAAAGGAGATATGGCTTGTAAAAAATGGGTCCAGCATTCACATCAGTGACTATGGACAAAAGAATCAGTCAGACTTTGTGTTCACGCTCACTTCTCCCATTGGAGTGAATAGACGCAGGACCGCCACTGGCCTTTTAAAGGGGCAGGGCAGTAATTTAACCGTGACACAGATACAGGAAATGACCCTTAAGTGCACTGTCTTGTTTTTACACCATCTCTGGCTGAGACTGATGAGAATGTCATTAGATTTGCAGCTTTCTAGTTGTAAACCACAGTATTAGAAACTGACACAATGATGTTGCTAAATCAAAAGTTAAGACGTCATAAAAGTTATCATCCTGAGGGGAACATGAATGTCTTAAGCAAATGTCATTTTAATGTAGCTGTTAAGTCATTTAACTCAAAATCTCAAATGACGACCTGCTGGTGGCATTAGATGGAAAGTCAGGGAACCAAAGTCATTAGGACTGATCTTCTGGGCACCATAAATGTCAGAGCAATCTGTCCAACAGTTGTTGAGATATTTCCCTTAAAGTTTGTAATAATGAAACTGAATATTGAGATAATGTGTCATTTATTTCATTTGCAGCTTTAACTGGAACATTTAAGAACCCTGTACCCCGAACATTATAAAAACAGGTCCTTATAGTCTTCTGGCAATTTCAACACATGCAGCCTTGCATCACAATTCAACAGAGTTTATTACATGACATGACGAAATGATACAAGAAGTGAGAGTATGCCATCAAGTCACAGTAACCATAGTAACAAAGCAGTGACAGCTATTGTACCTCTCGTTATCATCCTCCTGTTCCTTGGCACACTAACGAGCACAGGTACACATATTTTCTTTCTCATTTATTTACTCATCACACTCATGTATACAAACACATTGTACTGTGTCCTCTTACGCACACTGAGTTGTGCAGACGGCGTACAGGATTATGGTGTTTGAATGACAGCTGTGCCCTTTTCATGTAGCGTTCACCGAGAGCTGCCCTTGTGGGAACTCGCAGTGTTTTCGCAAAGGATGACTCACACTGAAGATTAGACCCCCCCTAACTTTGTGCCCTCCCACTCTCTCTCTTTCTTTCTCTTTTTCTTTAACTCCCCTGCTTTCAGCTTCAGCTTCTCTCCTTATATCATTTTCTCTCTCTAACTGCCTCTCCTGCGACACTGCATCTCTCCTAAGAGACCATGTGTCTGTTTCATGTCTCTAAGAATTTTCCTCAAAAAAATTCTTAAATCCTCGGTTGACTTGTGCAGAGCACAGTCAGGGGATGTAACACACCCTCCAGCCAGTGTGAGCAGCTGGTTTCATGTCTAAATGTGAACACTGAAGAACAGAAACATATCAAACACTTAAAGTCCCCACACCAAATAATAATTACTGATTGGATTAATGTCCTTGTCAAGGCAAAGAGCTATATTTATTCACTATGCTGCTCAACCTTGGGAACATACCCATAGTGTAGTTAATTTCTGTATACTGATTACTTTGCTTCAGGTGATAGCTATTGTATTTCCCAGACATTCGTACTGTAAGTTAGCACAATCACTGTCTTTAGAAAGAGAAAAAACACCCTTATGTTACAAATATAGTAGTTCTGTTTTTGGCAAAATGGTTTAAAAGTAGCAGGAAAGGATTTCATCCTCTTACGTGAGTTCAAATAAACACTAGAGCAGAAATTTCTTGTGTTTATTTGAACTCACATATATAAGAGGATGAAATCCTTTCCTGCTACTTTTCCTACCATGGCTGCTATTTCAACAGTACTGGCACACATCTCATTCCCCTGTGGACCTCCATGACAGCACCACACATGGTTGCTGGGTGATATGTGACCCAAAGCTTCTATGACAGTGTTGAGAGACTGAATATCAAGAGATCCAGTGATTGAACAAAAGAGACAGCTGTATCAATCCCAAGGACTGGATGGGAATAAACATACAAGAGAATGCTCTGTCAAACAGTGAAAAGATACAAACTGGAAAAACTGAGAAATATATAATCCATAATGATTCACGCTCAATTTCATCTGCTGTAAAAACTGTGTTTGTCTACTTTCCAGTCAAGCAAAGCAGCTGTGTGTTCATCTCCAATCTTGTTTCTTCTAGAGAGAGGTTCAATTATGATCCATTTTTTGGAATGCTAAGTAGGCTGTGTTATCCCCAGAGTGAATCCAAAACATGAAAATCACCAAAATCACAACAGTAACATTATTCTGTCTCCTGGTTACCTTTCATTAGGTAGCCTTGATAGCGCTCGAGCATTTGTTTTTGTCACATCTGTGAGGTCTCATCTCTCCAATCCATCCAACCTTCCTCACTGTCTCATTGTAAAGATATGGGGTATACAAGGTTGCTATGGCGACTATTCCTCTTGGCAACACAGATGTACTCTGTAGTTTGATTGGCCACCACATCCCCGTGCCCAGTGTAATGGATGCCTGGGCCATTGGCTATTCAAGAGCCTTACACATTCTATAGGTAAATACTCAGGCCATTTAAACTGATAAATTAGAGGGTGGTAACCAATAATGCTTATCTATAGTGGAAATGGACTGAAGAGTTTTGCCCCTGGCCAGTATATTAATATGAGACATAAAGTACCTACTCAAAACACTGTCAAGTGAGGCTTAGTGGCTGTCTTCCACTAGAGTGTGTTAGGTCTAGTGGTCTGCAGTGTCAGCTGCATGACGATCCATTTCATTTGTCAAAACATGTATATGAATGATAGAAAATAATCAAAATGGACTAAGAATGATTCTATATGATATTCAGAGCATATCTATGATTCAGAGGTTGTCTGCACATGGCTCTCAACATGGCAGTGGCTGAGCTGGCAGCGACCAGCTAACGGTGCTAACACAACAAACAGCGCTAACAACAGCAACAGTGTTGATTGAGCAAACAGTCTTTACTAGGGATCCAGAGGGTGGGTGCTACACTTCCACTATGATACCGTCCCGATATCAGCTGTAACCACCATATGAGTGCAGTGCAGAATGGTGGCAAAGAGTTTGCCAGTGAAATAAACAAGAACAGACATGCACTAACATGCACACGCAGCCAGACCGGCCACCACAACAAAGAACAGAAAAGCGTGGATACAACAAATACAAAGGGACCGTGACTTCATTCTGTGCTCAGGACGCCGATATTCCACTCTATCTTTACTTTGTGAACAGTGGTTTGCTGCTCTAATGCTCTGAATATTATATAGAGCTCCTTTAAAGAAAAACAGAGCACAATGAGACATCCGTTGTTTCTTTTCAAACATCCACTTTTTCAAAGGTTGTGTCCATTTAGATCAGGTGTCAAATCACAGGCAACTTTATCCTAACAGCTCCTGATTAATGTCAGTTTCATTAGTGTTATCTCCTTAATGCCGATTATGAAGTACCAGCAGTGTGTCTAGACTGCCCTGCTGACTCCAACAAAACAGCTACTTTTTTAATGAGGGGATGACAGTTTTCATAGCTCAGAGAAGTCTTTAAATATAAAACTTGTAGGCGTGTCATGGTAGTTGAGTCCAATTAGTGTGTACACAATACATGCCTGACTTGTGCTATGCTGTTTCTGTCCTTAAAACCCTATCCTCTCAGCCTGAAAAAGAGAAATAAATACCATATGTTGGGTTGTTCCTTCTAGAAGCTGTTAATAAGAAGAAGAAGATGGCTGAGCAGTGATTAACGAGAGTAAAAATAAAAAAACAGGAGTGGGATGAGAGACACATAGAGCAGAGACAGAAACAAAACTAGACACTAAATCCAACGAAAGAGACAAATATGATCCAACATGAGACAAACTCGAATATTGGCATGGAAAACACACCACATGATCTTTGTGACATCCTTTTGCTCTTCGGCTTAGAAATTCTTAACTTGCATCGGTACTGCTCTATCCATGCTTCAAAGTCTGTCTTGAACTTAAAAGCTGAAACTGGAAATACTGACTCTTGCGGAGAGGCCAATTTTGGTTTGTGGTCCTCTGTGTCAGCCCTGCAGTGGGGCCCATCCATTTTGATTGCAGTCTACATGATGGAGCATGTGAAGCCACAGCACTCCCTCAGCAGGGTGAGGCCTGTCTTGGCGAAGGGAGAAGAGGTCTGCTGAGCCCTGGGTGGCACCCGTCTGCTTGGTACACCTGAAGCCCAGAGAAATCATACTGTGAGGAAAAGATGACATACTCTCCAAAAAATGTTGTGGTGTATTGTATTATGTGTATAACTTACTACTAATTGCAAATGGACAAAAAAGTTCAGCCAAATAATGACTTGACTAAGAGAAGCACAAACAGATATCCTTATTTTCAGATGGGTCAACACCTGGGCCACACTGCCTGTGTGAGCAGTGCATGACAGCTACCTCACTGAACTGCTGCGGCTCGCACATATGTGGTGCTCACACAGACAGCGTTGCTGCTGGGGCACTGCAGCAGAGCTGCCTGCTGCTGTAGCTACTGTATTTCCACAATTAAAATCCAGTACTACATTCATTTTCAGAGCCATGTAAGCCACTGCATTGTCAACAACACGGTCAAGACAATATTTCATAATTAAAAGCCTTGTGTTTACAAATGAAGGGATTTTGCCGATAGATATGTTGTCAGAGGGCTTTTATTTTAAATTGAAACAAAGGTTGAGTTAAAAAGAAATATTTATATTTGTTAATGTCTGTGACAGATAAAGATATTAAAATCTACTGAAAGGCGACATCAGTATGTTTTTTAAAAGACCCTACTGGACATCAACCTGTCTATTTTTGCTGAAACCGTGCGTGTCACGGGGAAAAATAGGGAAGAAATAGGCGAGACTCCTATTCTCTAGATGTTCAGCAGCTTAGCAGCCAATAAGCCACGCCTGAACAACACTGCTCATGCATAGGTCAGAGCAGCAGTGTGGCTGCTCTGACCTATTAAAACGGCTGCGGGGGGGGGGAAGGAGGTTCTGTGATGCACGAGCACTGTTCACGCAGGCAGTGTGGCCCAGGCGTAAAGCATAGTTCAATTCTCAGTTATCCCATTTCAGTCAAGTCACTAGAAAAAATGTTAACATTGTACATTTCTGCAAACCAAGAATATGTTTTAAACGTAACATATCCAGATTGCTAAGGTGATGTAGTATATGAGCTGACTTGTTGGAGGGTACTGTGGATACGTGTCACCTAGGCGAAACATCTGCCAAGCTGCAGTCCACTGGTTGAGACCAACATATTACAAAACTAGTTGTTCTTTAGCAATTCATGGCTGTTCATAGTGACTTTTAACCATTGAATGTGAATGTTTTTTAGTGACCTATAGCTGTTTTTCAACCAGGGATAGTGCCATGGAAAGCGGTTGAACTTTAGCGAGACTTCCCTGCATTTCCAGTTGGGATGGTCCCTGAAAAGGCAATTGTTTTTTAGCAAGACATTGGCAGCTTCTCCAACTAGTACCATGCACCAAAAATGTTTTTTTAAGCCCAAATATTATCTTTTCAGAACAATAACCAAGGGGTTTTTGTGCCTAAACCTAACCACATGTTAATCACAATGCTGTTGAAATGTAAAGAAATGTAAAGCTTTAAGAAAGCTGCTACAAAATAACATACAAATGTAACACATATGGTTTGCAGAAACATATAATGCCGACATTTTTTTTCTGGCGATTGGGCTGCCCATTTCTATATTACAGTAATTCGAATATATACTGTACATGAATATGTGAAGCTTCATCCTTTAAAGCCCTCAGGAGGAAAACACCTTGAACAAGCAACACAACTGATACAAGTAAAAATATTTGCCTCGGCTCATTTCCTCCTAAGCTCTTAAAACTTTGCCACTACTGGCTGATATTTTGATGGAGCGCAATGTTGCAGCTGTCTTTATGCTTAAATACCTTTCTTCTTCATATTTCTTGGGAATTTGGACTTCAGAAACTCTGCCATTTCTTTATCTTCCTCTTTCTCCCTGTAAAAATTGAGAAAGATTGATACAGAATACATTAAAATGTGTGTTTACATAAAGCACTTGGACTGTAATATTAAGTCTTCCATTACCTTCTGATGACAAAGAGAAGCTGGCTCAAAATATATTCTGTTAGGAATCCCTTGTTATGCTGTGCTTCAGATCGTACTTTACACTTACTGGCCATCTACTCCACAAGTACTGAATGAACGTTTTAGAGAAGGTTGATTTTAGTTAAGTGGAGAGATGAAACACTTTGCGCCGGATAAGAGACCTAATGCAGTTCTGGCTGTTAGAAAAGATTAGATTTACTCTGAGAGGTCCTGATAAATTCAATAAATCTGGCAGACGCTTTTTGTCTGTTTGGAGATTCTGGGATTGGATAAACATATTCTGCATATTTGAGTATTTGGTTGTTTGTAGGGTCTAGTCAAGTTCTGTACTACTAAATGTATGTAGCAAATACCAGGGCCGTAATTTAACTTTGGAGGGGGTGGACCATTTTCAATGTATGCCTTCTACACCAAAGCCTCCAGAGGGGTATAGGGAATCTCCCCAGGAGAAATTTTTTAGAAACTTAACATCTAAATTGAGTATTTTTAAAACACTTTATGAGATACTGTAACATTCTGCCATTTATTTATGTAATGCCGTAAAAAATGACTCTAGGCGAAAGTTTGTTGAGAGTTTGAGAGACAGATGGAAGTTTGTCTCAGCTGTTCACTTTAGATCGACCCCAGTGTCACCTCACTGTTTAGTTTTTAAATTTTACAAAAATAAGGTCATGGATTATGCTCAGCAGTCCCAACAGAAGTGGTAACCTGTCTGGCCATGACACAAACAAGCAGCGAGTCTCGGTCCTTTGAATCCAGATTTTGAAGGTCTTGTCTGTTCTCCATGTTGTTGATTGGGGGTGTGGTGTTAGGCAACCCGGTCTCTTCTAAGTCGTTGAAATCTGGCGCTTGGGCAGTGACTTGCAGTGTCAGACACCAACGAAAAAAGCAGTCCTCTAACATGGGCATGATATGCCACCAGTTTCTGTTATAGTTTACCAGCGCCTGGTGGCGTCAGGAGGAAACGCGGTGTGACAAGAACAAAGGTTAAAGTGGCAAAAGTCCTGGGAAAGCGGTGTTTGCGTCCCATAAGATTGTAAAGACAAACCCTGTTCTTTTTTCCTTAACCTGTCCATGTGCTTTTGTTGCCTTAACCCAACCACGTGTGCTTGTTGTTGAGGGGGAAAAATTGTCACTATGTGGTTTTGTACCGACATATGACATTGCAAGTCATATCTGGACCAAAGACCATGACCAAATGTCAATATATGACGAGGCTGGAGTGAGAATAGTACATGTATATCAAAGTGTGCTGTGATTACGTCGCGGATATATACTCAGATCTGTTTATTTAATTTACCCTGAGTATGCTAGCTGCACCATTTCTGTCCATCTTTAAAAATAAAAACCAGAACATAAAAACTGCAGACAGAATTTTTCTTGTGAAGGGCAGTCAGGCGAAAAGAAGAGAGCACCAACAATAGAAAGAACTCTATATTTATCAGCATGGACAACATGGCCTTGAGCGTCGTCACATCCTCTCCTCTTTGCGATCCATTACCCCACTGTTGTTCTCCTGCTTCCTGCCTCTCACCTTCCCAGCAGCCTCTCAGCATTTTCACAGCATACTGTCAACTGTCAAGTGTTGCTCACACAAACTAACAACGCTTGATACTGTCTGAGTATTAGAGAGAAGATTAAACCTAAAAACAAACTGGTTGTCCAATAGTGAGTCACAAGTTGAGTGTCAGCCTGCAAGGTTGTACGTGCTGCATCAGGATCAACAAGTAAGCAGGGATCTGTTGATTTCCTGTAGAGATTACCTAGCCATGTATGAGCCCACATTAACATACATTTTACTTTACATTTTTTACATTTGTTCGACAACTTCACATTAAGAAAATATAATGTTCAAGACAACTCGCCTCCCTTTAATAGTTTCCTCTAATGTTTTGTAAAGTGCGCTTTGTATCATATGTGTAGTGAACGAGTGTCAGTATGTATCTGGATGGTTTCAACGGGATTTAGACATCTTCTCTTCATCTCCTGCATGAACAAAGCATCGACAGACAGCAGCAGATTTACTTAGGAGGCTTGGTGCACCTGAAAACTGATGAAATAGATGCAAAGTGTTTTGTTTTTTTAACCAGTGGCAGCTCCTCTTGCGGTACACCGTGACACACGCTGACACATCTTTAAATGAAATGGCTCTCTGCTGTGAGCTCTGCGGTACACAGCACTATGTTTTAGGAAATGCATCAGTGTTTTAATGGAGCGCAATGGGACAGTTTTGTGGAAGAAACATGCACACAAATGACACTGAACTGAGAAACAGCTTCACCAGCATTAGTGACTACAACAGACGTGCCAATCTGAACCTTAAAAGTCATTATCAGAATATTAGTGAACTCAGGAACCTGTGCTCCTGTGCATGAAAAATACATGCGAGGGCAAAGGATTCCCTACAGCTTTTTTCTGAAAGACTGCATGTGCACTGTACCTGGTGACTTTGTATGTGCAGTGAGATTTTTTTTTTCTTTTTAATTATTCATTCACAGCCTATGGTGAGAGACGACCAAAGGACCCCTCCAGAGCTGTAATGAAACCGTTGAGCTAGAAGCACACCTGAGTCGTTCAAACTCCACATCGTCCACCAGGAAATCTCTGGTCTCGACCAGCTTGTGGATCTGCTGCAGTAGTTCTTCCTCCTTCTGCCGGTCCTCGTTGGACTTGTCATTATCTACAACACAAGACATCTAAGTATCTAGAGTTTATCCCAGATTACCAACTTGACAACAAATATAATGGAGAATTAAACAAACAAACAAATAATCAGTTAATAACAATCTGGGAAATGTGATTATTATGTTCAGGTTAGATGAGAATATTGATATCACTCTTGTGCTCTTGTGCATTAAAAACTGAAGCTGGAGCCAGGAGGTGATTAGCTTAGCTTACCTTAGCACAAAGAATGGAAGTAGTGGAAAACTTGAGAGCCCGACAGGTGACATGGACTTTCTATTTTTTCTTTTTCTTTTTTTTTTTTAATAAAGCATGTACACTTTAGTAAAGCACACACATGCTTTAGTGCTGGAGTCACTGTCCCCCTGCCCTATGGAATTTCAGTGGATTTTAATGCACGTCTCTTTGTGCTGTTACAGTACCAGTGTTGGACAGTTGGAAAAATTTGGATTAAAGCAGTCCTTTCCCACATATTACATATTCTACATCATAAATCATACAAGTCCTGTTTAATATGTTACATCACCAAAGAAGTCCAAATTTGGCAAAACGTTTCCTTATAGGTTAGTAGCGCAATGAATTTTAGCTCAAAATGTTCCTGGTTGGGGCATCAGTAGCGTAGTGGATAGTGCCGGCGCCCCATGTACAGAGGCACCTGAACCAAACTGTAGTGGCACTCTCTAATTTTAAAGACAGTTTCTCTCTGTATGTACCAATCCCCATACTACCATACTCTATAATATGCTAGAAAAAGATTTAGTATATCCAAATACATAGTATGGTCTGATTTTGAGGTATGAAAGCCAGCATGCTTTTCGGGCTACCCCGAGCCACAATCCTCTGCAGAGGGGACGATGTGTCACATCGACTAAGCCGCAAACAGGTGACAGCTGACAGCTGTCAGAAGTTGCAATGACGGATGACAGCGCAATCAAGTAACTGATGACCAGTCGAGTAGTCATAATAGGAATATTGATTGTTTCAGTGAACAAAATAATCATAAATATTACAAACAACAAAAGGACCTATAACTATAAAAATAACAATACTACAGAGAACTGCAGATGTAACTTCACTGCTGCAAATACAACATGTTGGAATCTACAATCTGTGCCGTTATAACTAGTTGAATTACATACATTACAAAGTAACAACAGCAGAGCTCTCTGGTGGACTCATGCCGTTTTGTTTTATCTCCATGGTAACGGATATAAAAGCAAGAAGGTCAAAGTTCAGGATATAATGTTACGAGAGAGTAGTATGTCCCGATTTTGTTCATACTGCATGCAACAGCACGTACTTTTTAAGGACAGCTGTAGTACCTACTTAAAGTCAAAAGTCACAGTTTCTATATAGAGACTGTGAATTTCTGTGTTTTGATACTTTCACAGTATTTATATAGCACCTATACCTGCTTTAGATAGAAATGGAAATATGACTTTTTATAACATGGGGCCTTTTAAACAGTGCATGTGCAACTTTAAAGCATGGATGCAACTTACTAATGTGCGTGTGCAATAATGTGCATGTGTGATTCATAGCACATGTATGTGTTTTATAAAAGAAATTCCTCTATCACCTCCCAGGCTCCGTATAAAACAGCTAACCTAGCTCTCTCCAAAGAAAAAAAAAATGCATACCATCACCTCTAAAGCTGATAAATTAACCTGCTATATCTTGTTTGTTTAATCTGTTCATTAACAGAATTGTAAAAGCAAATCACTGCACAAAACTGCTTAGTGGACAGATAAACTGTTGCACCTGATACATAGTTTTACACATCATGAGAGTGGCATCAATCTTCTCAACTAATTTTGTCCCTTTTCTTTTGATCTCCTACCAGTAACCATCAGTATGGAGGCCTTCTACCTGGTATGGACACTAATTTCTGCAGCTCCTTCTTCAGACGCGTGATCTCCTTGCACAGCTGAATGTCATCCATCCTTCACAGGCATGACGGAACAAAAGAAACACATAAAGACTTATGTAAGTGCTCCACATGCTGCTTATCAGTTCACTTTCTACCTTGAAGGGGGAGAAAAGAGTGGAACCTTGACTCTGCTGCACGGGAAAATGAAATTCAAACAGAGAAAGCTTCTTATCGATCTCATATTTCACACAGGAGATGACACAATCTTCATTGAGGAGACAACCCTGTGGCGACTCTGAGCCAGATAGCTTTCACTCTTAGTCTGTATCACGCTCTGTCTCTTTCAATGGCCCTCCAACTCAGAGGATCATTACTGACACTGAGGTGGGGTGGAAGACCCTCTGTACCCTCCTCGTCTGACGGGAGTCAGAGGCCCTCACGTGACCCGGCATCACAGCAACCGAGTCTTTATTTAGAAACACACACGCAAACAGGCATTCACAGGGTCGCACACGCACTCACACGCGTTACACACATTCATCAACGTCAGCAGAGTGAGAGAGCCTCGCCACCATGCCTCATCTACCTGTCATGTAAGATGCTCTCCACAGACGTGTAGGTGGAGGAATGGCCATGAGGTCTGGAATACAAATGATGCGCTTTACTTAACGCTTCAGAAGAGAACACACCTTGTAGTTTGTTTGTCTGTGGAGTGCAGGGGGAGAAAAAAAACAAGGTGCTTCAGATCGTGACTGTCCATCTCCATACTCTTCCCCTCCACCTCCTCCTCTTCCTTCAGTCTCTTATTCTCCCATTTTATCTGCTTGACTCTTGCTTACTGGCCCACACAAGCCACTCCTCACATCCCCCCGCTGTCTGAGCAGCGGACTGCCTATCTTTCAAAGGAGTAGATGAATAAATATCCATGCATTAGCCTGCTTCGCGGAAGCAAGGTAAAGCCATTGAAATTATAATGGAGGCCAGCTCGGGGTGTGATGGAAAGAAGGAGAGGGAAATGAGGAGAGGGAATAGAGGGCAATGCTGCTGGGAGATGTGTTTCTGATATAGAGGTGCACTCTAGAATAGTTTAAATGATTCCAACTACATTTGGTGGGAAAAGTCTGAAGATGGATGCAGTTCACCAGTGAGGTGACAGTTTGTGTGCTCTGCTTTGTTCTGGCTTGACTAGGTGTCAACTAAAGTATCAAAGTGTCAATTTTTTTGGACTGATTAATAAACTTAATCTTTACTTTTTTCAGGTTTCTCACAGCCATCCCACATGTCTGGTGCAGACAGTCGTGGCTGCTAGGTTATGGCAAAAAACTTGATACAGTTATTTTGGTCGTGGCAAGGTGGATAGTGCTAGCACCCCATGTACAGAGGCATTGCTTCGCTGCGGTGGCTGCGGGTTCGGTTCCTGTTTGTGGCCCTTTGCTGCGTGTCAGTCCCCACTCTCTCTCTGTCTCCCCATTTCACTTACGGGCCTGTCAATTAAAGGCAAAAAGCCCACAAAAATAATCTGAAATACAAAAAATTGAGATCACAAATATTACAATGATTACAGAGTGACTTTAGAAACATACATTAATTGAACTTGTGAAGGAAAGCGGTGTGCTGGAGTGAACAGAAAATAAAACAAGAGCACAATAGTGAAACAGAATGCTGCACAATAATCATTTAATCTCAATTATGTTGTTTTCATAATAGCCAAAATCATAATTAAAGATAAAATTTGATGAATTGTCCATCCCTACCTTGGACCTAGACTCACAAGTCAGTCTTTAGACGCTTTGCTTAACTAAAGACTGATGTCTTTCTCCCTGATTTTGTGTTTAGATGGGCAGATACAATTTCAGAGTTTAAAAAAACTCCCTACGTTGCAGAACCAATAGTAAATCCGCAGGGCAATCCTTTGGTGGCTCGCTGAGCTCTTGTGCTCGTAAACATAGTCCGACTGCGTTAAAAGTTTTAAACAAAGTTGCTGTAAGTCCTTCATTTCCACAATCTTGTGGACTGAGCACACGTTTGATAAAACAGAGTTTAATCTCTCGGCATCCATTTTCAAGCTCTCTGTGTGTTTGTTTCCTTGCGGACGAGAAAAGGGGGAGCGCACATTTCCGGGAGGGTGTGTCCTTTTAAAAAATGCAAGAAGCGTTGCTTTGTTGCCGGCCGTGTCCCCAGACTATCAGAAGGCAGAGATCTCTGATTGTCTGGTGGCGAGACTACCTTGGACCAAACATGACCAAGATGCAGTTGCATTTACGGCATCTTAAAATGTTAAAAATGTAACCTTTAACCTTTGACCTGCTGTATAGTGACATCACTCAGTCAGTCAGCATATTATATTTCAGGGCTGCATATTGGTCCAACACTTTGGTTCAGAGTGAAATGTTTACTCAATTTTTCATGGAAGTTTTGCAGAGATCCTTGGTTAATCTTAATGACTTTGATGGTCCAATTGCCTTTAATCCAACAACACCAATACATCAAAATACCCACTTGTCCAAAATAACATCTGCCTGTTAATGTGCTAATGTTAACATTAAAGGGATAGTTCGACATTTTGGCAAATTCGCCTATTGCCGTAATCCCTATAGTCATATGAGTAGGTACATTACCTTTAATTATCAGTGCCTGTTGTTCTGAGCTCAGTGAGGCAGAGCTGCCTACTGCTCAGCGCACAAAATGGAGGTGAGTGGTACGGCCCCCTCTCTCCCTTAAAACTAATCAAATACACCATCAAATGACTCCAAAACGCTCTAGTGGACAACACATGGCTTGCGCATTCCCCACGCTATGAAACAATAATGTAATATTACGAGACAGAGTTGTTTTGAAGCCAAATGCACAGCCGGAACTACATTCCAGACATACAGTAGTTGCAGCGCATGTTTAGTGCAGTTAGTAGTGCAGAATATTTGCTTCATGTGTCGTAATGTTACTTAATTATACATTATTATTTCATAGTGGGGAATGTGCAAGCCAATTAAAGGTAATGTACCAACTCATATGACTATAGGGATTACGGCAATAGGTGAATTTGCCAAAATGTAAGCTGAAAGCACAGCTGAGTTTTAATACGGCTTAAACAGATGGAAAGCTGAGTCAGTTCTGATATTGTTGAGCTGAGCCTGAGGTGTCCTAATCGACCACAGCGCAAGGTCAGAACACTGATATTAAACAATTCTGCAAAGTCACAGATTATATTCAGTGATAATGATTTGTAACGTCCAGCGCCAACATAATTTAAAATTCTTTCTTTCTGTGCATGGTAACTAAGGCTAAGGAAGGATTATGTTATGGTTCAAATACGTCCAGGTCATTGGTTAAGGTTGGGGAAAGACCATAGAAATAATCCAGGTCTGTGAAGGGGTGCAAACAGCAGTGTCCGATATGACAGACATGTACACACTCAGGGCCCACTGCTTTCTGCTCTGGCACTGAACTCAGACCAGCATTAAACATAATTATGCTTTACCATTTTACTTTAAATCTGGAATCTGGTTTGCTGGTCCTGTTATGTCTCCAGTATGCACACTGGCTGAGGATGGCATGACATCAGATAAAAGTAAGGTGTTGGTGTTGTCAAGCCACTCACATGTATCTGAGCTCTGACTCCCTCCTGACCAGGACGTCCCTGATCCTCTCAATCTTGAAAAGCTCCCCCTCAATGTCGTCCACGGTGATGGTGGAGTCTGCCATGGACACCACATCGTCCTCTGAGGGGAAGAGAGGGAGAGAGAGAGAGAGAGAGAGAGAGAGAGAGAGAGAGAGAGAGAGAGAGAGAGCTTTTTAGTCTTGCTGAATTGTTGCATTAGCCTCTGTACTGAACAAAATGTAACATGTCTGACACAAAAATATTAAAGTGCATTGAGATTATTCGCAGTTTGCGGCGCACTTCCTCAACTGACATAACACTGAGGAGCATTTTTTTTTCTTTTTTCTTTTTT